GCCAAAATGACCAGGTCATTGCCAAAGTGAATGCTATGGTGATGCGGGACCGTCGTGTGACTATCCGAGAAATTGCGGAAGAGGTGGGCATCAGCACTTTTTCGGCACATTCCATTATGACCGAAGATTTGGCTATGAAGAGAGTGGCGGCAAAATTCGTGCCGAAGCTGCTTACTTGATTCAGACTTTGTTGGCGAAAAACCAGACTCCTGTGGTTCAACAGGCTCCTTACTCTCCTGATATGACTCCTTGCGACTTCTGGCTGTTCCCCAAACTCAAGAGGCCATTGAAAGGAACATGATTTCAGACAAGAGAGGACATTATGGCTGCAACGACAGCTGAGCTAAACTCCATTTCGAAAGAGGCTTTATCGGAATGCTTCCAACAATGGCGGCACCGCTGGGAGAAGTGTGTGGAGTCCCAAGGAGACTACTTTGAGGGTGATTAGGTTTCCAACGCTCCAGGTATGCCAGTTTTTATTCCCCGGCCAAAGGTCAGATACTTTTCTCACAGGCCTCATATCTTACATATTCTCTAGTTTCCTTTTGTAGTCTGTAAATGCTCACATTTACATTGTGAATCTATCTGGATCTGACACCACCTAGGCTACTCACAGTGATCTTTTTCTTTTTTTGTTTTATTTGAAAAAGTTTGTACTGACTCATTTTATTACAAAGTTGCTTGATGGGTTTGTCAAGGAATTTATGGGTTGTACTTCTCTGTTTCTTGTGTTGCTAATCCCAATGTATGGCATTATTAAAGAATCTATAACATCTGTGGGCAGTTTCTTCATAGTAGTTAGCATTATGGCATTGGCTAATATTCAGTTACTCTTTCCTATTTTAATTACTATGCTGCCTAGTATTCTTACAGATTTCCCCTTCTTATAAATCTGTGTGCTTTAATTAAATATATAGAAAGAGGGAACTTGTCAGTTTTGAATTTAATGGTTTTAAAGGTAAACTGGATTTCAGATAGATTGTTACTTTTGTGTTTGTACTCTTTCCACCCTTCTTATGATTTATGTCTGTGGTGAAATGATGGTTAGATTAGGCTTACTCTGTACACATGGAAACATGTCTTAAAAACTTTGAATGGAAAAATATCATAATTGGTTGAGAATATCCTAAATGAGAATATAATATGAGGTAGAACCTACAGAAAAAAGGTTTAATAAGATAATTAAAATTAAAGAAAGGCTAAACTTAAATGTAACTTTCAACATGAAAGAAACATATTTAAAAAAATTTAAATTTTTATCTCAAAAATTAATTAAAGCTATTAAAATATATGTAAGTGAAAGATATATTTAATGCTTTTAGTATATGCACATTTGTAATTTGAAAGAGAAATTGGCATAGCTATAGAACTGTGAATATTTGTAACAGAATATATATATATGTAGTGTTTTTCAAATATGATTTTATGTACTTTTAGCTCGAGAATTAAGGTATCAACTAGATAACTGGCTGGGTGCTGTGGGGTCGGCTTCTCACTCTCCAGCTAGAGCAATCATTGCTCCGTAAGTATAATTATTATGGAAATAATGAAAAGATTTTGTGTTGTTATAAAAGAAATATTCTTATTTTAAGCTCATGGGCAAATCACTTGGCAAATTCTATACTAAAATAATACAAAACTGAACTTAAGTATTGCTAAATTATAGCAATGCTATTGACATTAGAAACATGGATATAATTGCATTAGTAAGTAAAGTATTATATAAAACTTCCTAGTTTTTGAACTTAAAATTAATCAATTATATGAATTATTATTTGTATAAGGGTAAGACAAAGTTCTATTCAGAAAAATCAACAGTTATAACTAAGTCCATTTCAATTTACAGATTTAAGACCTTGCTACTATTGGACTGCAGGGTTTACATAAGTTTGAAATAGGTCATTAATTCCAATACGATACATAACCTCTTCTCACATCTAGCTTTTTCTAATTCAGTGCAGATCTCTATACATGAACTGTTTTGCTCATCACTAGCCTAGAGGTTACCACCTAATCTTGCATATTCCCATGTTTTATTGCTGCATTGTTGCATGCAAATTAGCATGTGACAATCCTCCACCAATAGGAGTTTGACAATGCCTCTAGTTGTATGTGAGCATTTGGCGATGACCCATTTGGACAATTCAACTGCGGTATCCTAGATGAATTGCTGGGGGAGCACTCAGTCTCACTCTTTGTTTCTGAATCCTCAACGTCCCCTTTTGGACTCATTCTCTACAACTCCATCTTGTGGCCTGTCATGTTCTGGATACTCTGAAACTTGTCATCTTTCAAGACACACTGTACATATAGCACTTCCGAAAGCCTGATGTAGGTATTGTACTATGCTGGTATCTTCTACCTGTCCTTGCGATACTTCCCTTCCAAGCAAAGAGTGTACCCTCATACAGACGAGGTGCAGTCTCCCACGAGTGTGTCCATACTGTTCCAAGGTATAGGGTGTTGCACTTCATGGGTTATCTTCAGATGCTTCCTGAAGGGGGCTCATCTTGGTAAAATTTTACACTGGTCCCTCCACCACTTCAGCGTGGGATTCTGGCTAGACATGAATTTAAGTTACGTAGGTTTGTTACTTGCAAAATCTTACTTGTGGATAATTTATAAGGTAGGAGTTTTGTTAAATTTATCAGTCATATAGCTTCGTCTTGTTTTTGTGGGGTATTGTCATGACTATTTTCAAAGTCTAATTAAAATTTAAATGTGTCAAGTATATATATATATATATATGTGTGTGTGTGTGTGTGTGTGTGTGTGT